AGTGGATCCTGTAGTCCATGACACTCTCTCTCTCTCTCTCTCTCTCTTTCTCTCTCTCTCTCTCTCTCTCTCTCTCTCTCTCTCTCTCTCTCTCGTGTGTGTGTGTGTGTGTGTGTGTGTGTGTGTGTGTGTGTGTGTGTGTAACAGAGGTAACAGAGAAAAGTTAGTTATGAATATAGATGTGTTTTCCTCCTCTTTTCATATCTTGTAGAAAACTCCAAGGCTAAGTATCAAATGTCGTAGCACAATAAAGTAAAAAGACCCTGGTTCCATGAATCATTCCTCATCTATCTGCAAGCATTGATATTCTCAATGACTATTTCATGAGCAAGAATGTGCCATGTTATGTATATGTGTTATGTCATCATTGAAATTACATTAATATAACACTGAATATTTCTTGCTGAATATTCAGTATCTGACCTGTTGGACCAGATGCTTACTTGTTTCTGGAAGAGATGGGATTCCTCCATTTACTGAGTAATTGTGGATCTTCAGTTGAATCTGTTGCATGATAATGGTGTAGGAAACCAAATGGCTTCTTAATAAGCCCACCCATCATTGTGGTATAAATATTGAGCTCCTAATGGTAACTACTCATTGCAATGAGTATATTACTCATAATGATATATTACTCATTGCAACACTGCATTGGTGTGTTTATTGAGGTTAAACAAATAAAACTCAGTTGCTTAAGGTATCTCTCGTGTTTTATACATGGCCCGTCTTCTGGAAGAGGCTCACAGAACTGAAATACACTGGTTAAGGTCATACATGCTAGTGTATTCTCATTAGTTTCTCACAAGGAAATATCCACAGGAAGCACTTTCAGGAATATTCTACACAGTTAGGAAAGCTTTCCATGAAGATGTATATAAAACACATGCATCATCAGTGCCTCATGAGGCATAGTCTAGAGGGGATTATTTGATTCTTTCTTTTTGACTTCATTTTGACCATTCATGGTCTTCCTTTCCAAAAGTATGAAGAATGGACATTTGTTTCCTAGCAAGTGGGGGTCTAGTTATATTTGTCTTTATTCAACACACAAGTTTGTTTGTACTTCTTAGGTGAAGTATATAGTGGGTGTCAGGGAAGGCTTGAGATCCAATCAATATTACTAAGACAGTTAAGACATGTTCTACTTTGTACGATTTTACAGAGAAAACTTGGATTGGAGAATAAGAGATAGTGAGAAAGTTGAGATTTCTGAAGATGTGAGTCTGGATTCTTTACAACTGATTTACAATGTATTACACTAGCCTAGACCAAGGGACATAGTCAATAATGGATAACAATCAGCAATTACAGTTTTGAATTATTTTGTATTTGCAGTTTCTAGAGTTTGGCACAATTTCTAAATGTGTGGTGAGATTATTAGGGCAAGAGATGATTAACTTTGAAAAGACAGACTTTTTTTTTTTCCTTTAAACTGTTTGCCTGTGTGTGTCATATGCCTATGTGTGTATGTACATGACTGTGCTGAATGTGGAGGGCAAAATAGGACTTGAGTGTCCTCCTCTGATTTTGTACTTTATTCCCTTGGGACAGAGTCTGTTGTTGAACCTGTAGGTAGGCTGCTGGCCAAGGAGCCCCAGGGAGCCTCTGGCAAGGATTATCTGAAGGAATCCTCACCTGCTCCACTGTGATCTGCTCTTTTGTAGTTCAGTTTTAGACAAGTTACATTTGAAATGCTTATGGCCTATCTTGGGGGTGTCAACTAAGACACTGGCCCAGTGATGTTTAACCTACTTTTATTATTCAGAAACATATTGTGAACTTGCCTTTCCGCAGGCATTGCTCTAAAAGCTTTATAACATATCTTTGAGGAAGTATGGCTATCCTTACTTTACATACATTTTTAATAATTGCCATAATTATCTTTTATGGGATATGATGAGCATCTATGCTATGGTTAATTTAATTCAATCATGCAAGATAAATTTGATTATCTTCTACTTAGTTAAAGATTTATTTACATTTATGTATGTATGAGTGTTGACCTACATATTTGTATGCATATCATATATGATGCTTATGTATGATCAGAAGAGAGCAACAAGTTCCCTAGAACTGGAGTTACAAATGGTTATGAGTCCCTGTTGGGTGCTGGGAACCAAACCCATCCTTCAGAAGAGCAGAGATTGCTCTTAATTACTGAGCTATCTCTCCAGACCTTTATCTTCATTTTACACTGTAGCAAATACAGAATTGTTAGCTGTGTGATCTGACTGCATCATGTATCTTTTTCTTTTCTTCTGAAGCTGCTGATTGATCTTTTAATCAGAACAGTGAACAGATACAGTCGTTCAGTGGGAGTGATGACTGTACATCATTTTGCAGTGGGCTTGCATATTACAGGGTGGAAAAAGGAATTTGGAGGACGAAAGATTCCTTCTGTAGGTCAGTTTCCCCCAAAGCCTCTAAGTGAAAAATACCAACCAACGGAGGCTGGTATATTTGAAGAGACACTAGCCCACTCATTGGAGCATGTGGTCTGGCAGGCCTTGCCCTTCTCCCCCATTCCTTCTGCTTTGCTAAAACCTGCTAGATTACATTCCTAAAGCTAGCCACCAAGGTCTTTACCCTTATTTGTTCACTTCCTCCTCCTGAGGCTACCAAAGTCCACCAATCAAAAGCCCCCTTTGGTTCACCTAATTAACATGCTCAATTAAAATGAAACACCTCATCCTAACGCGGGGTTTTCCCCTTTACCTTTATAACTGCCATTTGCCTATGTGCCACATCTGTCTTTCTCCCCTCTATCCAGAGGCAGCCCTTTGTCCCTCTGGGACAAGTAGCCCTTCCCCCTTTCCCTTGTCCCCTTCCACTTTTCTCTCATCTCCTATCTCCTTTACCACCACATCCTAGCCCATTTTAATACAGACCTCCCCTTTTCTTCTTCTTAAACACTTGCAGCTGTTTTCTGCATAAGTCAGAAAGCAGCTACTGTAACTTTTCCTTCCCACTTAATAAAGGATCTCTTTGTGAAAACATGTGTTTGAGTGTGGTGTTTGCCTAATATGGGGTCCAGGAGAAAACCTCTGCTGTGCCAGAGTCCCTTTCAATACTGATCTTATCAGAAGTTTCTGGGATCATAGATGACCCAGGAGAAATCACATAGCTTTCTAAGTATAAGTATTCTAAATAAGAGATTCTATAATGTAAAAAAAAAAAAAAAAAATGCTTTCAGTTTACAAGTCCGAATGCAAGGCTTGGAAAATTAAGTCATTTGAGTTATGTGGCCTGGTCATCAGCCATCCAACCTAGACTTGACCTCAGTTGTATGTGATTCTGAATCCCTTCCTCATGGTATCTCACTGGAGCCTTTACATTAGCTTCACAGGTGGCCCTTTCTTCACCAACGGTGTCACATGTCGAATTATGTAGTGTTCCACGAAATTTGTATGTTGAAGTCTTCATCTCCCATCACCTCATCTTGTGACTGCTATTTAATAAGATAATTAAAATAAAATAATGCTATACGAATCTACTTTAACGCAATATAAGCAGTATTATTTTTAAAAGAGGTCAGGGGCTGGGGAGCTCAGTTGGTGAAGTGTTTCACATGCATTAAGACCTACTGATCCCCAGCACCCACATAAAAAACTGGATACTGTTGCAAATACCTGTAACCCCAGCCTTGGGGAGGGGGTAGAGATGGGTGGATCTCAAGGACTCACTGGCCAGTCATTCTAGTCACTGAATGAGCAGGTTCAGTTAGAGACCCTGGCTTCAAAACTATGGTGGAACCTTTTGAGTTTTACTCTCAGCTCACCAGCCCATTCTTCTTCTTGGGAATGTTTTCCCTTTCGTAATAAACTGTGTCGGTTCTCTCTCTAAATAGTTTAATAATTAGTAATTAATAATAGCAGAAGAAGATTGAGAACAAACAAAGAAGGCATCCAATAGTGAATTCTGGTTTTTATGCACACACACAAACACACACACACACACACACACACACACACACACACACACACACACACGTGCACATGCACACACACACACACATGCACATAGAGGTACACACACATAAAATAGCCATTTCTCCCATGAGTAAGCAGTTGTGCACACATACACACGCAAGAGAAAAGACCAGGACACAGACACACCTGATGACATCTTGATTCTGGGTTCTAGCCTTCATCATTCTGAGAACACAAGTTCCTGTAGTTTGTAACACCCAGTCTGCGGTACTGTGCCATGAGAGACTCACAAGTCTAGCTGGAGTAGTAAGTCTTCACGACTGAAAACAAAACAGGAAGTTGGATGTTGTTCCAGGCACATACACTGGCTTTATGAGTATCTGGTTACTTTCCTGTGTTCGCTAAGCCCAGAGGTCAGATGACTTCCTGGGATGACAGCCAGCTTCCTCTTGCTGTTCCTCCGAGGGCTGGTTGGCAAACGCCTTCTTCTTCCTGTTCTCCCCTTAGTCTTGTAGTTTGCCTTCTTCGATAGGGCAGATAAATTCTAGAGGAAAAAAAAAACGAAAGTGAGAATGCTAAGGTTGCCACTCTCACTTCCTCTCCCCCTTTAGCTCAGAACATCTTTGAATACAGTACTTGCAGAGGGGCACCCACCGGGAGAGAAGAGGCTGGTGCCCCAGGGACTCTGCCCTGCCAACGGTTCCAGTCAGTTCAACATGCTTTCTCAGGGCCTCCGCTGGTTGCAGAACATGCCAGGATGATTCCTCCCTTCTGCCTGGCTGGGACACTGATGATGGCTTTGTTCCTCTCCTGCCTGAGACCAGAAAGCGTGGATCCCTGTGTGGAGGTACGTGTCTTGACCAGCTCCTTTTCTGCTAGTCTCCCTTGTTTCTCAAAGCCGTCCCCAGCTCAGAGCTTCCTGCTGTATGCTCTGGTTTGTTTATTTTGCACAAAGGAGTTAAACTAACCGAAAACTTGAGAAGCTGTGGGAACAAAAAGACTCAGTGTCAGCAGGGCAGGAACAGGCAGCCAGTGTGGTGTCTTGCTCCATTTACGACTTCTTCTGAGCCATGATTAGAGACTTGAAATTAGTAAAACTAGTTTAAACTATTGTTCTGTGACCTGCCTGAGTGACATCAAAGAAGTTTCTGAACCTTTCTGATGCCAGTTTTCACATCGTAAAAGAATTGCTGCACTCACTAGAGGGATTGGAGAAAGCGATCAGTATCTGGCCTCTCTGTTGGTACTGCCGGCACACTGCTTTCTGCAGTCATTCCTCTCCTTTCCAACTCAGGTGAAGGTGGCTGTCACTTCTGTTTCAAAGATGCTTAATCTTTGAATGATGGAGTGGTGCCTCAGCAGGTGTGGTCAGTTGCTACCAAGCCTGAAGATCTGAGTTCAGTCCTCAAGCCCCACATGGTGAAAGCAGAGAATCTACTTCTTTAAGATATCCTATGAGTTCCAAGTGTCTGCCTTGGCAGGTGTGAGCATGCATGAAAGTGTACACACACACACACACACATGTTGATAATTAACATTTTTTAAAAATGTAATAATTTTCTGGGAGTTTGGAATTCGGCCACTAATTTTAGAAGATACTGAAATGGGAGGGAGGGAAGAGAAAGGAGGGAAGGAGTGTAAGAGAGAGGGGAGAGAGAGAGACAGAGACAGAGAGACAGAGAGAGTCAGAGACAGAGAGACATAGACAGAGACAACAGACAGACAGAGAGCGATGTAAAATATCAGCTAAGGCAGTGACTCCCTTCTTGGTAAAATACTGACCAGTGACTAATCTGATTCATGACTAATTCTTGTTTTCTTCCTGCACAGACCATACAATTATCTCAGAAGCTCACAATAGAACTGAGAAAACAAGGAAATAATTCAGGGTGAGGCAGGCTCAGAAGCTGAAGACAGGTATAACGAGTTAAAGTCATAGAGTTGACAAGGGAGAAAATATTTTAAGTTGTAGCAAAGACTAACTCCTTGCTCTCTTGGTATCTTGCCTTCTGATTCCTTAGACATGTTGATGGAGATAGTTTCCAATCAGTTTCACACTGAGATAAAATCCCACTACCCTTGGTGTATACTGTATTCTGGGAACCCTCAAAGTCAGCCTGACCCTCTATAGGCCCGAGTAGCAGTTTCTTTGGCCTTATCTGCAGGGATGATGATTAGCTTCCTAATTTACACTCCTTTTCTATAACCAAACTTTCATCCTTATTTGTTCCCATTGGTCCAGAGGCTTGTATCTATCAAGTTACTCCTTTATAACATTTTAATAACTCTTTAGTGCCACAAAGGCAGTTTCATCCTACAGGGTCTTTGCTCTACACACAGTATCCCTCCCCTTATGGTAAAATTTTCGGATCCCCTTATGTAGTTCAAAATTTTCCTTGTGGTCAAAGTGAAAAATTAAAAACAAATGGGTAGTTAGTTTTAGTGACATATTTTATATAATCAAATGTAGTGCAACTAATAAGAAGATAGTTTATGTTCCATTTTGGTACAGAATATTAGAAAGTCAGTAGTATTTATGTTTACCACACATTTTGATTTATCCTACACACATGATTCATGTTCAACAGTTATGTGTGGCTTATAACTACAGTACTGGGATATAGGACTTTGATTTCAGTTTTTTTTTTCCTTTTAACTTTATGTAGATCTCCGTATAAGTATCTCCTTTTGGGGATTTTTTTTTCTTGATTGCCACATGGTGATCTCTGCCTTTGGCCTCTCAGTATGTGTTTCCATCGATCATATCACTTCATACTTTTGTTTATGTTTTATTATTTGTCCTTCCTTTTCTGCTGGCTTCATCACTATTCTACCACTGTCTAGATCATAAGAAGTCTTCAATTTCTATGTGTGAAGCGAATGAAAAAATGGTTGCTGGCCATTGTCTGAGACCCTTGTGTTCAGACTGTGGCTTCTCATGACTTAAGACTCTTGTCTGTGCCTGTTGCTAGCCAGTTTATCTGAGTTTGTTCCCACCCTTTTTTTGCTTATGTTCTTTGCTCCTTATAACATACATTTCTTTCTTTTCCCACATATCCAGATGTTGCTCTCCTTTCCTGTTCTGGATCTATAATCAATCTCCATTTCCCCTGAACCAGGCAAGGTGTGTGGGTCTTACTAACTTTCCTTCTCTGTTAGCTGATGTTGTGAGTTCAATACCAACTGGAATTCTATAGCATTTATTTTTGTACTGCCTATGGCCCTTAGCAGAAAAAGCCTACCATTTGGCTTATGTGAACCTCTATTCCAACAGTTATACAAAGTTTATCATTCACTCATCCAACATATGTCAATGGGCATTGACAGGTCACCATGCACCTTTCTGAACCTTGGAGACAATGTAGCAAACAAAATCATCAGAGCACCATAGCTCATGGTCCAGTTCATCAAATGAACAACATTTGGAAAATAATTACGTAGGTAACACAAAGTTGCTTGGTGGTCAAAGTCTGTGAAGAAAATAAAAGAGGTCAAAAGAAGAATTTTTTTTCCTAACACCTTACTCTATCAGAAGCAACACCTTCAAGGATATTATGATAAGCATCATTTAAATAGACATATGGAAAAGGGGAATGGACATGTATAAATCCTCTGACTGCATGTGAATTACCCTGTCTTCTTAATTTCTTCATCTTTAAAAGATTTTTTGAAGATTAGCATAAAATACATAACATGGAAGTAAAATGTTGATATGCAGCAAGGGATTAATAATAGTCAGTGATAATTAACATTGATATTTATCACTTTCATTATAGCAAGTTTTGAGATAAGCTCTGATCTCATTTAGTCTTTTGGGCATTCTATTGCTTTTAAATAAGAGAAAACAAAACTCACTGAGTTAAACAAAGCATTTTTTTTTCTGGAAGAAATGATATAATTGTGAAATTAGGTGAAAGGTTATGGAAGAGTATTTACAGTAAAACAGGAATAGATAAAACTAAGAGGGATTATAACAGCACAAAGCACTTGGTCTTGAAGCCTGCTTTCCACCACTGGAATCCATGTACTTTAGGACTGCCTCTCCTTCCTGCACCAGGCTGCTGAAGTCAACAAGCTGAGGCAGAAAATGCAATTGTCACAAAGAGGTGGTGTCTGGGACAGGACTGGACATCTTTATTGGTATTCTCCACGTGGCTGCATACAATTAGGATGCATAATTAGAATGATAACAATTTTACATAGAACTATGTATTTACAAGATACATGTTTTTTACATAAAACTAAGTTCATTAAAGATGTTATAAAACAAACAAACAAAAACATTGTCTCACTCTCAGCATCCCTGAAGTGCCTATAGTTCTTTGTAGAGAGTTGAGGACTCTTGGGCTTTTTACTCTATCCATGGTATCATGTCTAATTGCCGTCCTTGCTCAGCTCGTGTTCAGGCAGTCATGTTAGTCAGACTTTATGGGTGTAGCTTCTGAAGTTATTAGGAGACACCATGTCACAGTAAATGTCTTGTTCCCTTGGCTCTTATGATCTTCCTCCCCCCTCCTCTGCACTGATCCCTTAGCCTTAGGTGCAAGAGTTTATTGTAAATGTATCCCTTGGGACTGGGCTCCAGGGTTCTGCCTTTTGATTGGCTGTAATATTCCATAAAGGTTTCTGTTTGTCGAGTGGGGAAGAGTATTGCTAGGAAAGAGCACACCAATTGGTTACCAAATATCAAATGGTCAGCCCTGAAAACATACATATGAGTAATATTACACAAATGAGAGGACATACTATTGTATTTAGGATTATATTTACATATATGTTCATATCTGTATATTACAAAAAACTGATGAAAAAAGAGGCCAGGGATTTGAAAGAATGCAAAGAAGAGGAGCCAAAGGAAAAGGGAAATGATGTAATTATAGTCTCAAAAATAAATAAATAAAATAATAAGAAAATTACTTTGTACCAAGTGGCACAGAACATCTGTTATGAAAGCAAGGATTTAAGACTTGAGAGACCTTTAACACCTGATTTTGTTGTTCCACATTTAATCATAATTTTCTTTTAGTAGAAGGTTAACACATTGAGAATTCAGGGGGCACTTTTTCCTTCTAAATATATAGAATAAGAGAATTTATAAGCATGAAGTGGTAGATCAATGAATGGGTGAGGAAGGATGTGATGTCATACACTTGTAATACTCACACTTGTGTGGTAGGGGCAGTTAGATTAGGAGTTCAATGTCACCTTTGTCTATATAGAAAATTTAAGTCCAGACTGTGGTAAATGAGACCCTGTTTCAAACAAAATAAAACAGAATGACTGAGTGGATAGATGGATGGACAGGAGAAGATTAACTGGTATACTTGTATAAGAGTTTTAGCACTCTATTATTTATCTTTGGGGAGGAAAGCGAACATATGCAGTTTGGAACAGATATTTGTTGTGTGATCATTCCAGGTAGATCCTAACATTACCTACCAATGCATGGATCAGAATCTCAACAAAATCCCTGACAACATCCCCTCTTCAGTCAAGAACTTAGATCTGAGCTTCAACCCCCTGAAGACCTTAGGAAGCCATAGCTTCTCTAATTTTCCAGAACTTCAGTTGCTGGATTTATCCAGGTAATGAATGACCTTTTACATGCTGCAAAAGTTGAGATAGTTATTTTTCTATCATTGCATTCTTGGCTAAGAAAATCTAGCTTATTCTAACTCAACTTCTTTGACTCTTCATTCAGCATATGTATTACTTGCTGTATATCCTTGGAAGTACTAATTTTATTCACTAGGTTTAAATTTGGTGGACAGCTAGAAAAGAATATTTAAGGACAGT